AACAATATACGTGACCGTGAAGGAGGACATCCCTCGATGGGTGGAAGTAAGAAAACTTTTACAGTTATGATTACTACATTATTCATAACGACGGAGAAGAACATACTCCCCATAACAAATTAAACGACTTCATGTCGATTTTTTAATAACTGTAATTAATGATTGACAAGGCATTGAAAAATGTAATCTATAATATCATACTTATATAGTCTATCGCAAGACGTGCTCAGTTACATGAAATTTAGTTAAGTGAAATTGAATGATACAATAATAAAATAATATATTACTCAGTTCGTATTTAATTTTCTTACTATTAAGATAAAATTCTAAGAAGTAATATTTTTCGAAAAACGTGCGCAATAAATATTTATAAATATTACTTTTGTAGTCGTATTCATATAAATCATGAATTATATCTACTGCAATTAAATAAAGTCATCCGATTCGCAATCAGCGATATCATTGGAATTTGTAAGTTAAATAAAATTGATTGGAAGCGAACAGTCGCATTTAGTATTCAGTAAATGATTTAAACATTAATTTGCAGAATTTACTAAAAGCATAATCTATTTTATAAAATATTACACTACCTTCTAAAATTCTAAATTAAATCAATTTTTCTTAAACATAAATATATTCGAATTTAAATAATATATTTCAGAAAAGATAATTTTCAAAATATTTTTTAAATCACTTTTTTAGATACTTTACATGTAGAAAGAAGCTATACTTTTCCATAATATTCGATAAATTGTTTGGAAAAGAAGCGATCTAAATATGCAAATACTTTCTCTAAATTTTTTAATATACACCATTGGCGGTATATGGCGACCTGTTGAGTGGTCATCAAATGGTGCTAAGCTGCTGTATAATATATTTACCTTTATTATAATATCTTCGGAATATTTTTTCGTGTTAACTCAATTTTTGGACATAGTTTTCGTTGTCAATAATGTCGATGATTTTGCCACTAATACTCTATTATTTTTGAGCATTGTTGCTGTTTGTTGTAAATCCACTGTCATTGTGGTACGTCGGAATGCGATTATTAACTTAGTGCAAGCATTGCTGAAAGCACCATACAAACCTCGAGACGAAAATGAAATAGCAATACAAACAAAATTTGATAGATTTATCAGGTGAGTTCATATTTTTATTAAAATGTCCTGCACAAATTTAATTTCTTTGCTGTTTGACACATACTATTATTATATTGTTCATCGTATATTGTAAATCAGCACTGCTGATTTCTATAACAAATTATGAATGCTTTACCTTTTATTATGTCTTGTTGATCATAAATATATTTTAGAATATTCTTATATTTTTTATATAAAAAAAAACATAATAATTTTCTATTCTCTGTCTAATTAATCAATTTTTAGTTGAAGAAGTTTCCTATTTTAATATCATTTTAAATTATAGTAATAATTCACACAACACATGTACAAAATAATTAAATATAATACAGTAATTATAAATCTTATGATTATAAATTTCATTATAATAAAAGCATAAATAAATGGTGATAAAATTTCATCTCGGTTCTACGTTTGCAGATCATGCTCGATAAAATATTCACTTTTAGCAACAAGTTCCCTTACAGGCGGTACAATAGGATCAGTACTAAACGTGATGCAAGGTCATCTGCCTTATCGAATATGGCTGCCTTGTAATTATAATGTATCTACGATATTTTGGACTATATCTATTCATCAAATGGTAACTACAATTTTTGCCACCATGATAAACGTTGGCACGGAAACTCTAATCTTTGGATTGATTTTACAAACATGTGCCCAGTTTGAAATACTGGAAAGTCGTCTTCACAAATTAATAATTAATAAAACAGTTAAATATTTAGGACATGCAAGCTGTTTGTTAAATGAAAACAAAGCAGGTCTGTCGGAGTGCATATGTCATCATCTCAGCATTTACAAGTAAGTCACTTAAAGCCCGATCTACAATTGCATAAACGTAATTGTAAATGATGGTACTTGTAAAAATTGAACCAATCACAATTGAGTGCGAAAAGAATATCCGTATTATATAAATACCTTAACAGATTGTACAGCTCCTATAATATACCTAACTTGTAATGTAACTTATATATAAGTAATTTGTAAAACTTTCCTAATTCTGCTCATACGTGTAATGCAGAGCTGACATAAAACTATTCCAGATACGCCAAAACGGTAAACGTCATATTCAACCAAGTGCTCTTCGTTCAGTTCTTTAGTAGTATATTGGTTTTATGTACAAGTGTATATTACTTGTCAATACATATTGAAGACCTTTCTGCAATTGCATCTTTTTTAGTGTATACCATTTGTATGTTTGTACAAATCTACTTTTACTGCTGGTCTGGAAACGAAGTCATATTTAAAGTAATTATCATGTATACTCTATAATCTATTTAAAACAGTATCCATACAAAAAAGGTGTATCTTACTACTGACTTTAGGTATGATCAACGTGATGCTACAAATACTTTAAAGCGTTTTTTGATTGGTCTATTTGTAAAAAATCCTTTCTTCTGATTGGTCCATCAAACGTTTCAAAGCATTTGCAGCGAACTTTGATCACAACCTTTATGAGTTAATTGAAAATAATAGCGGATGTTTTTGTACAACTCAATTAAGATTTTACAAGATAACATAAATATGATTTGTTTAACAAATTTAAACTATTCTATACTCGATTGCAATATAAGAATATTCATTTTCTTATATATGAATTAGATTTAATATAATGCATAAACGTGCGTGCACGCTCGTGTATAAGATTATAATAATATCATTAAGATTATTCAATATTATTATGTAATAATAACTCTACTTCTATATTATGTTAACAGAGTACGAGCATAGCAAACGCTATATATAATATGAATTGGCCATTATTATCAATCAATGAAAAAAGAGGATTGTTGATGATCATGATACGCAGCACAATTCCTGTAAAATTCACAAGCAGCTTCTTGATAACTTTATCTCTTCAGTCTTACAGCAACGTTAGTATGATTTGGTGTCAAAATAAATATTTGATATAATATGTCAAAAAACGTGAGGATAAACTGTTTGATATTATCGATATTTATCGCGTACGTATGAAAATACAGTCGGAATATTTCATAAATGTATAATCTTCCACGTATATTTAAACAACATTTTAATTTTGTTTTCAGATCTTGAAAATGTCATATTCAGCATTTAGCGTTTTACAAAAGTAAAATATTTATAATCAAAAGTATATATGAATATTGCAATATAGGAGTGAAGTATTGAGTATAATATAGTTTTCAGTATGATATAATTTTGTTTAGTACAGTTTTGATAAATTAGTTATTTTAATACTTATAATTTTATTTACTCATGTATTTTTACTTCTAATATTATTCCTTGTTTTAATTATTTGAATATTGATACAGGCACGCACGTACATACTAAATGTATACATGTAACACAATGTAATACATATACTAATGTATTTTAATATAAAAGCAGAAATCATATTAAATGGAATGTTAATTGAATTTAAAAAATATAATTTCTTTTTATACGTTACCTTCGATATTTTTTTGCGGATTATATTCTTTATTAGAAATAATTCACAATTTTCCAATTCTCCAACATACTCTCCACATTTAATTTCTAATTAAATTCTTACATTAGAAAATCAATGCATAATTCGAAATATACATGTATATATATGATTGTTATATTTTCCCGAACACACACTTGCCATATTTTGCAGATATATATAAGTAACTCAAGAAATCTATCAGAAAAAAATTTATTACACATCACTTTTATCGCTGGATCTTGCATTTATATATAATAAAGTGAAAGGCTTTGCGGAAAATATGATATTCCTTGTACTTCCGATGAACATGAAAATATACAAATATTTTATTCAACAGGAAACAATATGCTTGACCGTAAAGGACAATACCCCTCAATGGTTAGAAATAAGAAAACTTTTACTATTACGGTTATTATATTATTCACAAGAACGCAAAAGACATGCACTCCATAATAAATGATTAAACGACTCCACGTCGACTTTTTAATGACCGTAATTGATAGTACTGCAGTTGACAAGACGTTGAAGAATAAACTGTACGTAGTCTATTGTAAGACGTGCTCGGTTACATTTAAATAAAATTTAATACAACATATTTAAATGAAATATAAAATATCATATTACGTCAATGTTACTATTTGTTATTTCTGTTACTAGCTAAAATTATAAGATATTCCGAAAAGGGTGCGTAGTAAATATATATAAATACTATTTTTTCAGTTGTATTCACACGAATTATACTGTAAATAAGTAAAGTCATTCACAATTCGTGTTGTCATTGTACACAGTTTGTAAGTTAAATAAATTAAATTTGTTGCAAGTGGACAGTTGAAATTGATAATCAGTGTATGATTTAAATATTAATTTGTAGTACTTACTAAAAGCATAATCTATTTTATAAAAAAATTATACTATCTTCTAAATTAAATTCAATTTTTCTCAAACATAATATATTCGGATTTAATTAATATATTTCAGAAAATATAATTTTTTAAATGTTTTAAACCACATTTTTAGATACTTTACATGTTGAAAGAACAAAGCTCTATTTTTGTACAACATTCGATTAGTTGTTTGAAAAGAGATCCAATCATGCAAATACTTTCTCTAAATTTTTTTATATATACCATTGGCGGTATATGGCGACCTATTGAGTGGTCATCAAATGGTGCCAAACTTCTGTATAACATATTTACCTTTATGATAATATCTTCGGAATACTTTTTACTGTTAACTCAATTTATGGATATAATTTTTGTTGTCAATAATGTCGATGATTTTGCTACTAATACTCTAATGTTTTTGAGCATTGTTGCCGTTTGTTGTAAAATTACTGTTGTTGTGGTACGTCGGAAGGCGATAATCAATTTAGTGCAAATATTGTTGAAAGCACCATATAAACCTCAAGATGAGGATGAAATAGCTATACAAGCAAAATTTGATAAATTTATCAGGTCAGTTCATAATCTTTATTAAAGATTCCACTATCAAAATATTATTACTTAAAATATTTATGTAATTAAAATATTATTACTTAAAATATTTATGTAATAACTCAATTTGTACGCATTCAGCGCGTATTATTTTCAAATCGTACAAATTTTATCAGCACTAGTTGTTTCTATAACAAATTGTCTTTTATTACATTTTGTTGATCATATATTTTAAAGTATTAGGTGTTGGAATTAATTCGTAGCGTTTTACAAGAGATGGGAAGTACTTTCATTAATGTATTTTTTAATGCTCATGTGAAATAAATAACATTCTTTCATTAAAAAACGCTACGAATTAATTCCAACACCTAATATATTTATATTTTTACATAAAAATGTAGTAATTTTCTATTTTTTATCTAATTAATAAACTTTTAGTTGAAGAAGTTTCCTATTCCAATATCATTTTAAATATTTAAATTATAGTAATAATTCGCACAACACATATACAAAATAATTAAATATAATACTATAATTTTATATCTTATGATTATAAATTTCATTAAATTAAAAATATAAAAATAAATGCTGATAAAAGTTCATATAAAATTTCATCTCGGTTCTACGTTTGCAGATCATGCTCGATAAAATATTCACTTTTAGCAACAAGTTCCGTTACAGGCACTACAATAGGATCAGTACTAAACGTGATGCAAGGTCACCTGCCTTATCGAATATGGCTACCATATAATTACACTGTATCTACGACGTTTTGGATTATATCCATTCATCAGATTGTAACTTTAATTTTTGCCACCGTGATAAATGTGGGCACGGAAACTTTAGTCTTCGGACTGATTTTACAAACGTGTGCTCAGTTTGAAATACTCGAAAGTCGTCTACACAAATTAATAATTAATAAAACAATTAAATATCTGGGACGTGAAAGTTCTTTGTTGAATGAAAACGAAACAAAACTGTCGGAGTGCATACATCATCACCTCAGCATTTACAAGTAAGTCACGTAGGAATCCGTTTTTACGCGTATGTATTACGTTACATATATACGCACGCGCGTGTGTTGTGTATCTACATGTATGCACATTTAATTGTTATATTTAAAAAGTGGTATTATTCATAATGATGACTATTAGTATTTGTAATGGAAAATTGTTTAAAAATAATTGAATTAATTTTGTTTGAAATTAATAGATAATTGTTACAAGCTAAACAATAGGACATGTATATTTTCAAAGTGATTTAATTATATTGTGTTTCCGGATTTTTTACACAAAGTTTAACGGTATGTTCTATGATCTAAAATTAAAAAAAGTATTATATACATACAGTTTCTAAAATATTTTATCAAAAGTTATAACAAAAGTATAGAATATGTAGGAAATAATTAATCTAATAACTAATCTTGCATTTCAAAATGCGCATTTCAAAATGCGGTCTATCTGCTGATATCAGTAGTACAAGCTTAATATCGATGTATTATAATTCTGAATTTATCACCTTTTTAGTAGAAGAAATCCCTGTGTAAAAGTTTTTGCCTTTTATTAATTTAGGCGGATGGCACTTTAACATGCAAAAGTAAAAATTATTTCTTGCACATTTCATATTTCTGTTAACTTTCTATAATCTTTTAATAAAGAATTTCAGGAATTATATGTTTATACAATATATTTTTCTTATTGCAGTTCATTCTTATTGCAGAGTATACTATTAAAATTTGTGTGAAAAATCCATAATTATTAAAAAATAATTGTGTAAAATATATTATACAAAGACAATCCTTGTATAGTAATTTCATGGTCAGTTGTGCTAGAAAAAGTACTTCCTCTATTCGGGAAAAAATGTTTTATATATAATTACATAAAATTATATAAAATTATGTATAATCTTTTATAATTGTATATAAATGGAGAGACACCTTTATATGAATTAATTCCAACACCTAATATAATTATGTATAAATATATATAATTATATATACGATTATATATATAAAATATGCTTATTTATATACAATTATATAAATTACATATAATTTTATATATTATAATTTTATATAAAATATTTTTTCCCGGGTAGGGATCAAATAATTCTCAAATTTCCATACATAATGCATGATGAAATTTTTACATAGCTATTAAAATAATACGAATATTATACATCATATGTTATAAAATTATACATCAAAGTATTTAATAATTATTTTACTCATGCAATCTAGGTCTCTAACATAGAAACTATTACAGATACGCCAAAGCGGTAAATGTCACATTCAACCAAGTGCTTTTCGTTCAGTTTTTTAGTAGTATACTGGTATTATGTACGAGTGTGTATTATTTGTCAATGCATATTAAAGAACTGTCTGCAGCTGCATCTTTATTAGTATATACTATCTGCATGTTTGTACAAATCTTCGTTTACTGTTGGTCCGGAAACGAAGTCATGCTTAAAGTAATTATTATGTACGCTATAATCCATACGAAATAGATAGACTTAACCAATTTTGTAAGTTAATGAAAATGGCGGGTATTTTTGGACAACATAATTTTTTTTATAAGGGTTTGCAAAATAATCTAACAATTATTTGTCTGCAACGAATTATTTTATAGTTGAATACAATAAGAATATATTTAATGTATACACGTGCATGCACACGCCTGTATAAGACTATATAATAATATCATTAAGATTATTCGATATTATTATGTAATAATATCTCTATTTATATATTATGTTAATAGAGTACGAGCATAGCAGACGCTATATATCGTATGAATTGGCCATTACTATCAATCAATGAAAAAAAAGGATTGTTAATGATCATGATACGTAGCACAATTCCTGTAAAGTTCACTAGCAGCTTCTTGATAACTTTGTCCATTCAGTCTTATAGCAATGTTAGTATCATTTATTATATTCAAATATTTATATATTCAAATAAATAGTTTAATGTAGTATATGAAGAAAAAAAAATGAAGATACGCGATGTGATAGTATCGATGTTTGTCGCGTATGAAAATGCAGTCGAAATTTTTTACATAAATGCATTATTTTCTATATTAATATTTTTCATATTTTTCTTTCAGATTTTGAAAACTTCATACTCAGCATTTAACATATTACAGAAATGAAGTATAAATAAAAAAAAGAATATATATTTGAGGATGATATATAAAGTATAATTTTGAGTATGTATAATTTCGAATACAGTTTGGTTTACTTTGATTTTGAATAATTTAGTTTAATTTTAGAGTAGTTTAGTTATTAGAATATAATTCAGAGTGATAGGTACAGCTTTTTCAGTATAGTTTTTGATAAATTAGCTATCCTATATCTTATATAACTTTTGTTCACACATATATTTTTATTTCTAACTTTATATGTACCTTATTCCAATTATTCGAATAATAGCACACGAAGGCAGACACGCACGTACTAAATATATAGTAAATGTATACATGTAACACGATGTAATACATGCAATAATTAATATACGAGCAGATATCATTTTAAATCGAATGTTCATTGAATTTAAAAAATATATCTTTTTACACGTTACCTTCGATCTTTTGTGAGCGACATTATTTATTATCAAAAGTAATTAACCATTTTCTAATTCACTTATCATGTATTTCGTCGCAAGCGGATATACGCATAGTTAGCTAGAAAATAAAACGCATTATGGGTCTCTCGAATTATATTTCTCGTTATATTATCTTATGTTTGTATGCAACATAAAATAAATGTTTCATACGCAGAGAAAATATGATCTTGCGTTATTATTGGTGCAGATAACATGAAAAAGCTACAAATATTTCATTTGATGGTATTGATTATGATGATATGATTTTTGCCTATTCAATGGCTAATTAATAGCCCTATAGGGTTATACAAATTTCATTGTAAAAAACTATTTTATACACACATATATATATATATATATATATATATATATATATATATTCGCTTTCGTTAAATATATTACACATTCAGTAACTGAAATTAATAATTACCTCTTTGTGATAGAAATGAATTATTGGGTGCGTTTCGAATTACACATCAAGCACATATTATTTTATCCTTCTTTATTCTTCGTTGAACAACAAGGATAAATGATGCATCATGCACTTGTGTATATATTCGGAACACACTCAGAATATTTAATTAAATCTCTATTAATCCTTATAGGATGTAATCAGGTACTCTCCGTTATTCGTTTTTGTATTTTGATATTATATTCAACTGTATGTTACATATCATCGACACATATTTCAGGTTGATATACATTTGTATATTAGCAAATTATATTTATTGTTGGTCCGCAAACGAAATGCTCAACTTTTAAAGTAAATAACTGCCTAGCTAGCCCCTCCCATTTAACCAAATCTTATTGAATAAATTATATATAATAATATTCGGGTTAGGCAATGTAATAACTGTTTGTGTTCTGCAATCTATTCTCTCACATCCCAGATATTACATTACAACATAAAACGAAAATACAATATTTATTACAATTATGTAGAACATATAACACACAAAATGTCAATTTATGTTGTCCATCGACAAGATTATCAATCGTTCTGAAACCTATCATTCTATCGTCGTATGATTATAAAAATTATAAACTGCTCTCTAAATTGCTGTTAGATATGTATATGTATGTATGTGTATTATAAATGTGATACTTGGTTAACTGAAATCGATAGTATTATTGAGCCCAACTACTTGGAATGATTATATTTAAATCAAGTAATAAAAATCAATAGAAGCGTGCACCAATTGAGGGTGCGACTGAAATATCCTTCTCAGACACACACTTTATTATAGCGCAAAAATATCGATGAATTTTTTTTATATAGACATATGCTTCTTCAAATTTCTCGATTATAAAAGATAGAAAACAATAGAAATAGAATTACGAAAGTGTAATATATTTATAAAAAAATCATTTCCATTGTAACCTATAGCTTCACATCAAAAATGTATTTCATTGTGAAGTTACGAAAAGTACACGAGACGTAGTGAAGTTCTATTTTTCGTAAATAATAAAAATCCCACAGGATAGAGTAAAAAATAAAATTTTTCCACTAATATAAAGAAAAAAATGTTAATGAAATGATTTCCTTTGAATGGAAGTTCTCATAATTGGCTTTGAAGTAAAAATAAATGAAAAATATATTTTGACATAGTTTTTATTTATGTATAAAAATTAATTTAGAAAGTTGTGATAAATCCTAAAAGTTATATATGCTAAAATATATAATTAATACAGTAACACTCGAAATATTATCAGAAATGTCAAAACCAAAATTTACGACAAATTTTCAAACATTTATTATTAATTATAAAAAGAAATAATATTGTAATAAACAGAATACTTATGAAAGGAAAGATATAGAATCATTTATGTAGATATTTTTATTAATAATAATTATTAATAGTAATTAATTGAAAAACATTATCTGTACACATTTAAGAATAATTTTATTCATCTTCAATTTTACGAGTTACAAATTGTCTTTTCATTTCAAATGTAACAATACCAACAGCTACACCAACATTTAAGCTGTCAATGCCATTAGTCAATGGTATATTAACACGAGTGCAATTTCTTGAACGTAATAATTTACATGATTCGAGACTTATACCCTCGGTTTCTCCACCAATAACAAGTACTACTTCTCTTTTTGTAAAATCTAATGCATAATAAGGTTTAACTGGAAGTTGAGATACTAACTGTTTTACTAGCAATTTAGTTTTTGCAGTTGATTTATATGTTTGATCTATCAGTTCGTTTATCGTATTATCTTGAATTTGTTCATTATGCGCATCTAGATTATCTTGTTTCACATAATTATCATTAACTTGGATAGAAGAGCCTTCATTTATATCTGGATTCATTTTAAAATCTGTTAAAACATTTTCATATGCTATATTGTTGTCTGCTAGAAAAATTGCAGATTCATCACTTATTAACGTTGGAATTTCATCCCATGAAATAGATGTAAATATTGGTAAGCGAAAATGTGCACCTATAGCACTGCGTAAAACTTTGGGCTCCCATAAATCCACACATCCTAAAATACAAAAATCTCAATTAATGAAAAACTATATACTATGGAATAAGTCAATTGGTAAATATAGTGTAAAATACCTTTCATTAATAATAATTTTTCGCAACCAACAGCAGCAGCTGCTCTTACAATAGTTCCCAAATTTCCTGGTTCTCTTATATTATCACAGATAATGGTCAAAGGTATAGCATTTTCAGCAGGTTCCTTAGTATCAACATCTGGGATTTCGAAAATTCCTGTACCAAAAAATAGTACAAAAACCAAAATTATATAGATATGTGTATATTTTGATAGATTATTGTTAATTTTGCTAATTGTCAGTAATCTCCTTCGAGATCTATGAAATTATAATATTTACCAATTATTCCAGGAGAAGTTATTAAATTAGACCACAACTGAATTGTACGATATGGAATTTTATATAATTTTACTTCCTTCGGAAGTGACAGTGGCAATACATCGGACAATCTGCTGAAAAATATTACTTTTGCTACTATTCCTGCCTGAATTGCATCTTCAATTAATCGAAAGCCTTCTAATAGCATTTGACGATTCTTTTCTCTTTTCTTTTTTGTCTTAATATCTATCATTAATGAGCTGAAACGTGAAATACGTATTGTTTACAGAATTATACATTTTAGAAGTCATTTGACCATTATTCAGAAAATGTTATATACCTTATGAGTTTATCATCTGCATCAAGGGCTATATATTTTGGTTTTGTAGTACTTTCTTCAATTTCATTTTCTTTTTGCTCCTTTTTTTCTTCCTTTTCAGTTGTATTGATTCTTAATTTCCTTCTACGTGTTCTAACAGTTCGTTGCTCCTTAGTTTTAGTTGTATCATCAGTATCAAAAAGTTCATTTTGATTAACAATAGCAACAGGTTTTCGACTAACCCATTTAGTACTATATTTGTATTTCGTTATTGATTTTAAATTGACTGTTCTTAAAAGTTTCGTGCCCTGAATCGATCTAAGTGATAACTGTACTACACTTGACAACATTCTTATTTTGAATAATCCAAATATCGTATACTGTTGTTCATTGATATTCACTTTAATAATCACTATATTATAATAATTTTTATGTTTTTATCGACACAATGGTCTATTTTAATCACGTTGCTAATTCAAGAAAGAAAGATATCACAAATCTAAATATCTAAATAGTAAATAAAAACCGCATGTTCACACATGTATATTCTGTACCACGAAGTATTGAGTAATAAGAAGGAGATCAGATCAAACTTGAGTATCAAAAATGGGCTCGAAACATGAAAACTTAGGAAAACACATGGAAAATCGGGATGATGCGATTTGAGTGCTATTGCGGCAAAAGCTAGAAGTATATATCACGTGACACCGACGAGATACTATTAAAGATAGTCAATTCTTATGGAAGTTCGCATGACTATTAAAATTTAAGTGATTAAAATTAAGAAATTGATAATACGGCACTAAGTTCACGATTTATTAGTTTCGCAGCATGTTATATATGTTTAAAATACTCGATTTTTATTTTAAACTGTAATTTTAATGTTATCATCCGAGTTTAATTATCAATAGAGATAACTGTAGAGAAAAAATTGTAATGTTTCGGTAATATATAAAATATTATAGCATTAAAAGTATGCGTACTTATTTATACAGCATTTATGTAATAAAAATTATAAATTTTTAATAATAATATTAATATTATCAAAATATTTATGTTAATGTTTATTAATTGTGATGTTATCGTTCTTCAATGATTCTTAGGCCCCCGCGAGGTCCCATTGAATAGTCATAAAAATTTTCCTCGGATCAATATTCTTTAATAATTAAAATATCTCGTCGGTGCCGGAATTCATAGACCGGTATTCATCAGATCTTATATTCAAGATCGTCTTAAGTACAGTCTTAAGAAATCATAAAATCAGAGGCCCGTATTAGTGTTTTAAGACATTACTTAAGACATTACTTGAAACAGTTTTGAAATAATAACGGACCATAAATATTGGACCATAATATATTGACCATATAGTCAATTTTTATTTGAGGCTGTCTTAAGTACACTCTTAAGAAA